AAGAAATAGCACTCCCCTTTTGCAGCAGTTGGTGTAGTTTTGGCTTCCCACTAGTGCAAAGTCTTGAACAATGAGCATCTTTTCCTATTATATGGTCTTTTAGCTGTTATTTGTTCAGTAACAGTTCTCAGCTCCATAAGAAACCAAGGGTCGGGGAGAGAAGTTCTTTCTTCAAGGCCATGAAAATGCACTTAATCATTCTCCAAAATACTGGCTGCATCTAGCTGAGACACTTAGTGTGCAATAGTTCCTTACTACTGTGCAGTAGCATTGCATGGCAGGAAGCGTGATGTGATGCTGCTGTACAGTAGTAACAAGCTACTGTGCAGTCAGTGTCACCTAAAAGCCGTTTAGTGACACTACTGCTTAGTAACTGTAGTTACTGTGCAATTTAGTACTTGTATAAACAAAAAACTGTGCAGTCATTCAGTACTAGTTTATACAAGTACTAAATGACTGTGCAGTAAAGACTGCGCAGTCAGCCTCTCGTGTAGACACAGCCACTGGGTTCCTGTGCAGGGAAGTACCATAAGAAAGAACAATAAAAGCAAAGACTAGAGAGGGGGTTAAGAATATTATGAGAAATATTGACTCCTTTTTGTCTTGAGAACCTTAATCTAAAGAGGAAAACAAACTATCAGATTTTGATGAATAAAATTCCCAAACATACTACTAAGAATGGCTCTTTCCAAGGAAAAGTTTATCATCATGATAAAAAGGAGCCTCTTCACTGTAGAAATAGAACAAGATAAAGAGGAAATTAGACTTGTCCCTAAAAGAAAGTGATTTTCTACAATAAACAACGCAAAACAATTTTTGTTTCCCTATTTCTACTTCTTCAAAATCTTTTTTGCGTAGAAAGCCTGTTTTCTTGAAGAAGTTTAAATAGGGAAAACCTTCCAAAAGAAGATCCATGAATGCCTAAGTTATGAAATTATAGAAATAGCAAAGTAAGATAATTAATCTGTGGTACAAGATCCTGAAGTCAGAATGCTAGTAGCTACAAGTTAAAATAGTTAGTCAAGGTTATTTTTCCCCGAAGAGATTGGATAGAAAAAGTTCAAAGCCTAAGGTGGTAAATGTTGCTTTTTCTTTTTATTTGTGCTCACTGTGCCTGTATATTTAGCAAAGCTAAGAGCAAAGAACCGAGAAAACTTTAACTTGCGTATCTTTTGGGGTGAAGAATGTTCTGTTCTGATGAAGAATCAGCCAAAAAAAGGACAGTGAGGACAATGAACCCAATGAAGACTGAACTTCTATAAATTGCAAGTGGAAACCCTCAAATTTTGCTAATGTATTTTAGATCTTAGTTCTGCATCCAAAATATTGACCAATTTGGGAGTAAAAATTCTAAAAGAGCATGTATTGAAAATTAGTATTTTGCTGGTTTTAATGAACAATAGGTTAGCTCAGGGCACTAATTTTAATGTTGCAGCTTTAAATGTGCTTTAAAGAAGAAAAGAGCTGCTTAGTTATTGCTTCCACCTTGAAGAGACTACTTTATAGCTTAATGACATTGTTTAGAATTTTTTTAGATATTCGGCTTAACTGAATATCTTAACTTTCCCTTCCCCTTTCCCAGTTCTTTCACTTTCCAGCCACATACATATCTCCTTGTAGGACCCTAAACTCAGCTTACCTGTCTTTAAATTTCTGCACATATTTGGAGGTAATTGTGCCACACTATGCATGTTTTGGATACATTTAGAGCCATTTTATATACATTTAACTTGTTTGGTATTTTCCCATAAGTCAGTCTGTCCAGTATTTTGATATTTTCCTTTTCCCTAGACCAGTTTAATTTGTCAGTCTCTTTCTAGTAGCAGGGTATGCTGAACAGAATTCCATACTAATATATTGTGATACCAAAGTCATGTAGAAGGAGGACTGTGAAACTGCATCCACCCAGTATGGAGTCCGAAACTATACTGTTAATTTTTGTTGCTATTTTGTATAATAAATTCATATATGTTTTGCATAGCCTTTTTCAGCAATAGAACTCTCTTCTGCACTTATGTTTCTCCCTTTTGTTAATCTGTTTCAAGTTACTGATAATTTTACTCTAATATATTTACTTGTGTTTCTCAGTGTTGCAGAGTCTCCCCAATAAGTATCTTTCGTGGGTTTCATTAACAGCGAGTTTGCTTGTTCTATATTATTAATAAAGATGCTGAAGAGGTCAAATCTTAACACTGATCCCTTTGCAGTAACCCCATCTCTGTATATATTTTGACTTTTAATTTTACCATCAAAATACTTTAGTCGATTCTCAATATACATATACTTGCCTAGCCAAGTCAATTTCAATTAATTTTAGGAGTAAGATTTACTAAAAGCTTGTGTTAGATATTTTCTAAGCTTCAGCTGCTTTCTGCCTACTCATTTAGGACTCAGTTATGAAGTTTCTACAAGGTAGCATGAAGCTGTGCTGCCCCAGGGGCAGCCCATGTTGTAACTGAGACTCATTTCTCATTTTATGCTCCCTTACTTTGTGTGCATGGGAGGACCCTTTCCAATTATTCCTGAATTAGTCTTCAGGCTTGCCAGATATATTCTTTATGTATCTGTGTTTTAATGTTTTTCAATTTGTGAGTTTGAATTTCTACAAAATATTCTAAAAATGCTACTGGTTGGACATAATGTGACCTAATGCTCACAAATATTTTATACTGTGATTCTTACTATCCTGAAGTAAGAATAGGCTATATGAAATGACCTAATTGAAGTGTTCAAGAGCTGGGTTTTCCCAAAAGTTGTTGTTATTAATCAAATATTGTGTTATAGTCCTTCATACCTTCATTCCACTGTTCTACTTCATTCAGTTCTGTTTGGCTTACAAAACATAAAAATAATTTGATAATGTCAAAGCTATTTTCATAATTTCAATTGATGCAATACATTCTCTTAGATGTGCCCATTATTGCAATCTGATGCACACTCTCCTTAGCGAAATCTGCATGTCAGCATATTGTGCATCTACATGAACTCTGTGGCAGCAGTAGCAATAGTGGCCTATTCAGATATCTTCAGTTTTCCCTTTTTTTTTTCTTTTTCAGGAAAATTTCATGGAAGTTATTAGAAACCAGGAGTTTCTATTATTGCCAGCCACTGAAATTGCAAAGCTCTTAGCAAGTGATGATATGAATATTCCTAATGAAGAAACTATACTGAATGCACTCCTTACATGGGTTCGGCATGATTTGGAACAGAGAAGGAAGGATCTTAGTAAGCTGTTGGCTTATATTAGGCTGCCTTTGCTTGCTCCACAGGTAAATTATTACAAATACAAAATACTTTCCTCCCCTAGATTATATCCTTTTTAATGGACAGGCTCCTACAGTCTATGCTGGAGCTTTTATAGAATTTTATAATTTGACTCCTTAGAAAAATAAATACATAGTCACGTTGCAGAATATTCCTGCATTATAAAGTTAGTAACTACTCATGGATGAACTGCAGGATTTTACAACATGAAGATGAGATCAGTCAGGATCATATAAGAATGAGGCAAAAAGTTTAAGTAAACAGTAACATTTTGTTTCAATTTCAAACATTTGAGAAAAATGTTTTGCACATCTTATTGGTATAGTATTGGTAAGCACATGGATTCAGGAATATATGTGCCTCTTAAACATCATATTTATAGGAATTATACAATTTATTTTTAAAATGAACTTCTGTCCATCGTCAAAACTCTCCTAGAGAGCCGGGAAGTATAGAATTGGAAAGTTACCTTGAATTGTTTTCTCCATTTATTCTCCTTTTTGGACTCTGTATGCCCCTTTATATAGAATCATAGAACTATACAGTTGGAATGGAGTATTAAATGTCAGCCAGTCCAATTTCCTGCATAACTGTAGGATGTACTATTCCTAAACATCCCAGACAAATGCTTGTCCAGCCTTTCTTGAAAACCTCTAGTGAAGAAGATTCCAGAATTTCCTTGGGCAGCTTATTCCATTGTCCTACTACTATTTATTGTTCTTTCAGTTAGGTAGGATTTTGTCTCTGTTTGTATTCCAGTGGATGAAAACGCCAGGTGCTCTGGACTCCTTGGTATAATTGCTCTTATCAATAAGTTGTAGTACGTTATAGTCCTGTGTTACTGTTCTGCCGTGGTGTTGTACAGATAACCCATGCTAGATCTCCTTACCCTGTTCTTTATATAATAGCACTTTATATAAGGTAAAAGGGCTTTAGAAAATGAAAACTTTCAACAACCCTGTGAGGTAATAAAAGGCTTGTCTACATTCTTGGGTGAAAAACTAAGGGCGTGGACAGAAGTGACAATTTTTGCCCGATCTGACTGCAGAAAGCAGTTTATAGCTGCGACCAAACAAAAGTGAATGGCTGTAGACAGCTTAAAAAATGGCCGATTGGGTGAAAATATGACCTCTCATTGCATGGGGTATCAGATGAAAATGTTTCAAAATGTGGCATTTTCTGTAACTTGTGTCTGCAGAGCCTGTCACTGTTTTCAGAATAGGAGGGAGGAAAGGGAGCAGAGGGAGTTCAAGTTGGGGGGTTTTATTCTACCCCCCCCGCCCGGGGTGGGGTGGATGTTTTGGAGCCCGCCCAAGGTGGGGAGGGCTCCAGTTCACCCACCCCACCCTTCAGAGCTCCCTCCACTGCCTTTCCCCACTCCCATTCTGAAAGCAGCCAGCACTGACAGAGTGGCCATTGCTATGAGCCCACAGCTAGATTCCCCACCCCCCAGGAACCAACAGTGAACTTCTGTTTGGTCTGGGGTAATGGTGCAACTCAGAACACTGCAGAAAAGGTTCTGAGTTGCATCTGAGAGCTGCACTTCTGTCTGCACCCCAAGGTGTCATGAGATCATAATGAAAACTTCATGAGTCTCTTTTTGCCTTTCACCCTGCACACTCTTCTTGGTAGGCGAGATTGGATAGAAAGTATTTCCTGTGGGTACTACTCCATATGCAATGGCAAGATTCTCAATGGTGCATCCCTGACTTTGTCATTTTCTTTGTTTAGGAACATATTGAAGTCTGAGCCCACTGACCTGCAGGAAGTTGTTACTTTGTTCAGTATTTAACTGCTTATTTATTGTTTTTGTTTCTTTCCGTCTTCTCTAACTGAAACCATCCATGGAAAGAGACACTACCGAAATTAATAAATAAATAAATACATAATTATGTGAAATTAGTCTGAACTGGGAATTAGTTAGGAGACTTTCAGGTTAAAATGGCAAAACAATACCAGATTGCAATCACTATTCTATCTCCCACTTTTTTCAGTTTCACTTGCATTCCACGATTCTGTCACTTTATTTCTTTACTGTTATAAAAACTCTTTAAAATTAAAGTATTTTAAAACAAAATAGAGTTTCATCCTTCAAAAGGAATTAACATTATGTACAATGCAGTCAAGAAATTTTGTTGAAACTCCAATAATACTATTACATCTGACCGCCAGTGATTACAGTATGGTGTTTCGTTACATGATCACACATCATTAGGCAATGTGACACACTTTTCAGCAGACATAATATGATATAATTAAAATATTTCTAATTTTATGGTAGAAGAGTCAAAGCTATTTGGAAGAAAGGAAACCAGAAAATTGGAGAGGTCACTAAAATCAATAACATTGTAAGTAGAGATTTTGAGGACTATTAGATTCATATACACTTAAAGAAATCATGGGGCAGTATTATAGGATTTAGAGCCAGGGGCAGAAAAAATGTAATAGGAGCTTGGTTTCATCATCAGTTGCATTTATAATGATTTTTTTGAAGCTAGCGTTTTCTGTTCTGGTATATCTGCTTATTGACAAAATCAACATCCCAGGCATCATTTTGCTGTTGCAGAGAGAGGCTTGTGATATGGTTGATTATGTATATTAAATGTTTGCTAAGTGCCAGTGGCTATTATGTGGTCTTTGAAATTGTACCAAAATGTTGATTAACTGCATTTATAGTTGAGAGAAATTCAGCTTCCTTTTCCTCAGAAGCACTTAGTACTTTAGACAGTTTCCTTTTCTGATATTCTTTTTTAACAGTTTTATAAGATTATTTCAAGTTATAGCAACCTCATAACCTTCCTCTGCATCTGTTTTTCAGATGTGATTATAATGTTAATGTATCATTTATAACTGTTCCGTTATAAATGCCTTTGAAATTTGGTGCAAGGAGCTACAGGAATAACAAAATGCTTGGAAATTTTGGATTCATGTAATAAGTCAATTCTTAAGTTGGGGAGCATTTATTTACAGAGATTTACAATGCAGCAGGCTCATTCACAAGAACACACAATTTTCTGCTTACAGATAGCTTTAAAAGTTATTTACTTTTTAGTTAGGATAGATCTACAAGAATAATTCTAAGCCTCATGCTATGATAAATCCCAGCTCCTTCAGAGTTCTTTATTGGGGTGAGCAGATAAGTTGCATTTCCAAATTACAAATATAGTTTTACAAGAAATATTAAACTATATTGATTTAGAATTTCTTTCCCACGTCCACCCATCAAAGGTAAAGCATTGCTTGTTGAGGATTATCTTGGTATCACTTCTCACTACTATTGGAATACAGGAAAGCATATTTTAATGTGTACTCCTGAAATCTTTTTCTGGAAGGATGCAGTATTTGACAGTGTTGTAGATGTGATCAACTTGTGTTCACATAATAATATGTGCAGTTAATTAAAAGGTTTTTGCAGAAATATATATGGAATTATATCTAGTTATTTTAAGTTCAGGAACAGTGCGCCAAACCGGACCAAAGTGCCAAATGAAAGGCAGTGTTGAAACACTGATGCTAATATATATAAACAAATGGAAGGCATTCTGACATTTATAACACTAGAACTTTAGGTATACCCATTTTTTAATAATGAAATGGTAGTTTAAGGTTATCAACGTAGCAAGCACAGCTTTGTCCAAAAAAAAAAAAAAAATCCTCAGGGAGCTGTCTTGCAAGTGACGGTGTGATAAAAATCAAAGCAAGTTTTGTTCCTTCTTACGGATAAATTAGACAACTGGCTTTCAATTTGTTTTTGTTTTTTTTAAACAATACATTTACTGGTCATGAATATTGTGTAAAAGCCAAGTATTAAACTTTCATTATGGAATGCTACAGTAGTCTCAGCAGAAGGCTGAGTAGAGTGGCACCTGTTAGGGGCTAACACAGGGGTGGGCAAAGTACAGTTCTCTTCCTTCCCATGCCCCACAACTGATATTACTGCTCTGTGGTTGCAGGAATCTATTCACTTTATCAAAAGAAAAATCTATATATTTTAGATTGGCCCCCAGCTGCTTATCAGATAGACAGCCCTGTTTCAAAGTGTATGTTAAAATGCAAGTGTAGTAAATACTATCAATTAGTATATTTTTACACTTGTGGGATTGGTATGATTTCCTGCT